GGCCGCTCGGAGGAGCAGGGTGACCTCCAGGGACCCGGGTCTGCCCTCTGGTACCAGCCCTCCTTCCTTAAGCTACTCTCCCTGGCCATCCCTTGATTCGCCCCCCCAAAAGAAGGAGGTCATTTCCCACTTTGAAGCCTCTGCAGGACCTTGATCATCCTGCGGCTGGGAAAAGCCCTGGGAAAACCGTCCGTGACCCCACCTGACTTTCCCCTGACATTCGGGCACAGAGGTGTTCCCCAAGCTAGTCTATAATGAGACATACAAGCACAGGGCAACACTTCCCGAGGACACACCGTGGGGTGGGAGTGTCCATGTACTTTACTGTTCCCGTTGTGTGTGTGTGTGTGTGTGTGTGTGTGTGTGTTTTAAAGATTTATTTATTTGAGAGAGAGAGCAGGGCAAGGGGGAGCGAGATTCTCAAGCAGACTCCCGGCTGAGTGGGGAGCCTGATGTGGGGCTCGACCCCACGACCCCGAGATCATGACCTGAGCCAAAACCAAGAGCCAGACGCTTAACCGACTGTGCCCCCCAGCCGTCCCATCAGTCACACGTTTTACTGTCTCCATATTGGTGTCCCCACTTCACTGCAAAACAAAACAGAAACCCCCGGATGGCCATTCAAGCCGCAAAGCGCTGCCTCAAGCCCCAGCCTGCCTTTCCAGGGACCTCACCAGGGACCAGAGATGGAGACTGGATGCCAGTGTTTGCAAGGATGGCCTCAAAGAAGGTTCTCAGCTACAGCAGACTTTGCCCACACGCTCTGATGCAGTGGGGGAGGGGCGTGCTTACGTCCATGAAAATGTGGTCAGAATAAGCCTAGCAAGAAGGAAGGGGGTTACGGGGAGGGGGGGCGGGGAGGGTGAGCGGGGCCCGCTCTGGGTCGCGGCACTGTCGGCAAGCTCTCCTCGCACTTTCCCTGGTTTTCCTGGATTCCCCATGGGCTCATATCACTTTCCCAACGTGGGATAAAAACACATTTGCCCGTGTCTTAAAATGATGGGTCCTCATAACTCCAGCCCGGTTGTTAGCTTCTGAGACCCCATCCCGGAGAGAGTGGGGCCGCTCTGTGTCCGCAGCCCTGCTCACCATCAGCGTGGAGACTGCTTCTCAGCAAAGCCCATTTCCCTTCTCCAAACAGAAGGACACAAAGCAGCTTTTTGACCCTGGCCAGCTCTTGCCACATACTTGGGATGCCAATATTCTTGCAAAGAGCCTGGAAGGGCCCCAGTGGCCAACCTAGACGTGTACTTCTAAGTAAATCATTTCACTTGCCAACATTCCTTTCTGGGGTGACTCTTCCAGCCCTTACGCGCCGCTCTGTCTCCCCGCCCCGCTCAGCCCTGCGGCAAGACCAGCGCCTCCGTCTGTGTCTCCGAGGAGCTCGGGGGCCCAGCCCCCCTCCTCCCCGGCGTGCGGTCTCTCTGACTCTGTCACGGCGATAAGCTGCGAAGATAAGCATGAGTCCTTCAGCAAGTAACGAAACAGCAGAATCAAGTTCACTCGGGCAGGAAGGTCATCCTCATTCCGGATCATGTTGTTACATGCGTGTCGGCGGAAGTCAAGGGTCAGCATACAGTCCTGGCTGGCCGCACCCACGGCAGGGCTGCCCGTCACTGGCCGTGGGTGATGGGCCACATCAAAAGTCTGAGCGCAGCAGGTAACGAATCAGACGTTGAACAAGAAGGCCGGCTCCCTGCAGCAGTCTGCTAGATGGCGTCCGGCCCGCGGAGTGGGTAGACCCGATGTCGGCGAGTGTGGCCCACTTGCTGGCCAACTGGCTGAGTACAGGGGGTGCCGGTACGGCCCAGAGGAGCCGGGGGTGCCATCAGGGGATCTGGAAGACTGGGCGAGCTTGCCAAAGGGGTAGGCTGTGGTGCGGGAAGCCCAGAAGCCAGCAAGAGACACATCAGAGCAGCTCGGAGACCTGCTGGGGAGCCTTGTTTTCTGTTGGACTTCAGGCTTATTGCTGAGTGGGGGAGAGTCTGAGCCTCAGGTCGTGACCCCAGCGATGAACGTGAACATCTGAGGCTCAATCGTGTCTCTGGTCAAGGTGGGGACAGACGTTCCTGTTACAGATTCCTGCCGCCTGCTGTGTGCATATTAACTTTTTACAAATATAAATGGTATTTTATTAAGAAAAAGAGGACTAGGGGGCCCTGGGGGGCTCAGTTGGTGAAGCGTCCGTCTTCGGCTCAGGTCATGATCCCGGGGTCCTGGGATCCGGCTCCCTCGTTGGGCTCCCTGCTCAGCGGGGAGCCTGCTTCTCCCTCTCCCTCTTCCTCTGCCCCTCCCCCCACCACCACTCTTGCACACACAGTCTCTCTCTCAAATAAATAAATAAAATCTTAAAAAAAAAAAAAAAGAAAGAAAGAAAGGAAAAGAAGACCAAGACATTGCTGTGGGCTGAGCTCTGTGCCCTCAATATCCCTAAGTGGAAGCCCTAGCGCCTCCAGGACCACAGGATGTGACCGCATTTGAATGCAGGGCCTTTGAAGAGAGGACTACGGTACAAGGTTATAGGGGCTTTAGTCTAATATGACCGGAGTCTTTATAAGGAGAGGACATCGGGACACAGACACGCGTAGAGGGACGACCCCATGAGGACCCGGGAAGGAGATGGCGTCTGCACGGCCAGGAGGGGACTCTGGAGAGACCAGCCCTGCCGCACCTGGATCTCCGACTTCCAGCTGCCAGCCCAGGGGCAGGATACATCTCTTTGTTTTCAGATGCCCGGTCTGTGTGCGCAGTTCTCTTGGGCTGAGCTGACCGATACAAACATGAAGCTTCCTTGGAGGGGGCCTTGGAGGGGGCCGGGGGAGAGAATTCCCTTGCTGTGTGCTCTGCCGGTCATGCTACAGGGACGTTCCCCAGCCTGCAGACTTGTCCCATGAGATTCACGGATGCGGTTTCACGGCTGTGGTCCTGAGCACCTGAGGCACCGTCAGGGACACCCGTCTCGGGGTCCCCCAGCATTCCTTTGTGATCTGCTGCACACGTGTCCTCAAGTGACCCGCCTCGAGTGGAGTGCCTGCCGACCCTGCGACCTCAGAGCGACACCGCGCAGCTCCGTCTGGGAGGCAGGTTCTCGTACCCTGGCAGTGGTTGTGCCGTGAGAGGAATTCCGCCGCAGACTTGGGGTCCCCACCCAGCCCTTCTTGGCCGGGTCAGGGTCCTGCCGGCACCCGTGGCCTCGCTCCCACAGACACAGCTCCTCCGGCGGGTCCCTCTGCCATGAGGACACACGGCCACTGCCCCTCGCCGGCCACCCCGTCTTCCAGCCCCAGAAAGAGGAAGGACCCCACGGTCACAGCTCCTTGGGAGGAAGGCTGCACACCTGTCCCCAGCACTGTGCTCTGCCAGCTCCCAAGTTTCCCCATGTGACAGGGTCACCCCCCCCCCCCGCAATAATTCCCAGCAGAGGGTAAGCAGCAGCCAGGACAGGCCCTATCCACAGACACAGGGGCTGTTGGCTGAGGAGCTGCACTTCTCTGTGAGGCTCGAAGGTCTGTCTTCGGAAGAGCAAATTCTCTAGCGGTCAGTGTGGTGGCTGATGGGTTGTTGGAGAATCACAAGCGGGTTGGTCGCTAAAGGGTAACAGCGTTCTGTGGGGACGGAATCCGATCCCGTGTGTTGGCAAGGGACATTTGAACAGCGCTGGCCACCAGACAGAGGCTGGGATGCCCCTGCCCGTTCCAGAGCAGGTGCACGGGTGCCAGCCTGAAAATACCTGAAGGACGCTGAGGCTGCCTCGTTTCTCAGAGACCCCGGGTTACGTGCGCCTGAGGGGGCCGTGGCGGCCGTCACCCAGACCAGGAGGGGTCCCCACTCCCCGTGGGGATCCGCTGGGACCCTGCTTCCTCTCCCGCAAACTCAGTGTGGGCGCGGTGGGCGATTGCCGAGAAGCACCGCCCACCCACGCCTGGCCACCCCCACCCCCACCCCGCAGGCAAGTCTCACCCTGGCCTCTGGCGTCCAGCATCTGGAGCCCGACGGCGCCGGTGCAGGGGAACCGCCTGGTAACGTGTCCAGAATTCCTCCAGCCGGTTCGCCATGGGCCTCGTTAAAGGTGAAGTTATAGAAACTTGTAATTACATAAATCGTATTAGAAAAACAAAGGCCGTCAATTCTCAAAACCTATCACTTCCACATTATTCTGCTTTATATCGGCATTGTTTCTGCCCCCAGGGTAGCCCCATCTGTTGGGTCTGCGCAGGGGAAATGCGGTGTCCTGGGCCGACCTGGAGCCGGCTCGGGGATGTCCCACCGGGAGCTTGGCTGCCTCGGCCAGAGACGTTTATGCGCAGACACTGGCAGGTGCTTCAAACCAGGCGTGTTTTCCCCAATAACCCACTGGCAAACATTTACAGCACCCCAGGGCCATCCTCTTTTGGAGGGCGGTGGTGACTGGCACTTGGGGTGAGATACGCAGGCGGGGCGGGCGGCCTTTGGAAACTCCCATCTGCCCCAGGGAGACAGATAGAATTGATGCAAAATGTTTCGCTCAGTGCTGGGACCTTAATTCCTCACAAACGCCTCTGCTCGTCAGCCGGTACAGCCTTCAGCAGGTGCCTGCCGCCCACCACCACGCGGCGACCTGCCCGGGGAGAGTCTCATTTGTGCACGTGCACCCCTGAGGCCCAGGCGTGCAAGACGCCAAGACGCGGGCTCCCAAATGTGTCTCGAAAGGAGAGACCCTTGCCGGCCATCTCCACGCCCGTGCGAGCGGCTCAGGGAGGCTCGCGTGTTTACAGAGCTGGAGATACAGCGAGGCATCCCGCAGTGGGAGTCTCCGGCGTGTCCTGTGGGTACTCGGGTACTCAGCCCTTCTGTGCCCGGGCATGCTGGCAGCCAGGATGTGGGTGAGCGACTGGCCTTCTGGACTGCCCACCCCGGCCGCACAGGGGGTGAGGGTGCTTACCAACCCCTCCCGTCACCCCTACCAGCTCTGATTCTCTGCTCCCATGGCCTCAGTCCCGGTCTCACCCTTGCTCCTCTCTTCAGCCCGCTGCCACTCCCTCCTCCAGGCCTGGCCATGGGGCGCTTGCGGCCAGCTCCAGCTCCTTCCACCCCAGGCTGATGGAGAGGCCTGGCCCCGGCTCCCGCTGGTCTGCACAGAGCCACAGGCAGACCGACTTCTCCACAGGACTTGCCTGCAAGGGACAGGGGTCAGCCCCTGCTCACCATGGGGAGGGCTGCACGGGGCCCTGGAGACGGGGCGGCCCCAGGACCTGTGGTGGCCCGGCCTGGTCGCCAACACGCCCGCGGTAGCTCTGCTCTTCCCCTACCCCCACCTCCCAGCAGCCAGAGACCCCACTCTCCATCACGCAGCAAGAGTGAGGGAACATGCCCAGGGTCCCCGAAGCAGACATAACTCATACAGTACAGTCCTGCACCGGCCAGTGCTGGGAAGCAGACCCACCATCCTCTCCCAGGGTCCTTGCTGGGGCCGGTTCCAGAACAAGGTGGGGCAGGGAAGGAGGGGCAGGCTGCTGGGGCCCCGGACAGCAGGGTCTGTGGGGGCCGGACGGGGATGTGAGGAGACTCAGGCTCTGTCCTGGGGCTGTGCATTGCCCCAGTGAGCCGAGGCAGAGAGGCAGGACTCACAGGGAGTCCCCTAGGGCAGGTGCCTTAAGTCTCCCAGAGAAGGACAGATTGCTTTCCTACTAAGTAATTGGGGGGAGGGAGGCCAAGAGAATGCAGGACTGAACGGAGAGAGAATTTGGGGGCCCAAGAGCGGGCCAGGCAGGTCGTTGTTCAAACAGGGTTGGTGCTTGAGAAAGTCCCCTTAGGTACCTAACAGCTGTGGTGAATTTCTGTCCCCTTTCTCTCTCTTTTCCTTTTTCTGGCTGCCAAATATTAGCATGGAAGGAACCCGTTAACCCTTTCCAGGGGTGGGCACTCCTGAGCCCCAGACCGTTTTAGGGCTTTCTCTCAATCCTCGAGCGCTTTTAAAAAACCATGTTGGGTTTGTAATAGCTGAGGTCAGGAGGTGCCCGAGGACGGGACCCTGTGGAGGGTCCCTGGCGCGGCTGTGTTTCTGCAGGGCCGACCGGAGGGGGCGGGGGGAGGGGGGCGGGCGTCATGTGACAACACCCGGCTGCCACGGATGGCCCTTGGCTGCTTGAAAGGATCCAACAGAGCTTCGACTTCGAGAAATAACTCTGTTCCTTGGGGTCGCAGCTGGGCGCGGGGATTGCTCTAAATCGAAACCAGCTGTTTCGTCCTGTTACCCAGACTCCCCGCGGGAGCCGCAGAGCCGGGAGACCCCTGCTTGGAGACGGGGGCCCATGTCCAGCACGGAGGTTCCGGGCCCTGCTCCGCAGCCGTGTGCGGTAGTTTTGGCCAAGCACCCCTGATTCTCGGGGGGTAGAGGTGAGGTCAGTAACCCGGGCTTTCCAGGAACACGCTGCCAGAAAGGGGCACGTCCTCCCCTTGTCCCGCCAGAGGAGCTCCTACAGGAAGTGCCTCTCGATCCCGTGGAGATTCAGAGCAAGAGCTGGTTTTAGGCGGCTTTTATTTTGTCGTAAAAGAACAGCACGCGCACGGCAGGAGAGCCAACGCCCCAGAAGGGCTCTGAAACCCCCTCCCCTGCACCGAATTCCCAGTCCGTCTTCTCGAACCCTACAGCCCCTCATTGTACCCGGTGCCTCACCCCAGAAGTTTCTCAGGGATCAGGAACTCAGGTGGCAGGGTTGTGAGTTTTGGGGGCTGACGGCCTGGGTTTAAACCTCACCTTCTTGTCACTGGCTGTGTCACCTTGTCGTCTGTTAACTCGGGCCTCTGTTTCCTGTTCTGTGAAATGGGCACAACTTCCTAGCTCAGAAGGTTAGATGAGGAGGTGCACGGCGAGCTCCCAGCACAGGGCTTGGCTTGCAGCTACCTCTCCATCTGTTATGACAGCACTGAGGGGTCCGTTCCAAAGCACTGGGCAGTGCAAGGGGCGTCCCCTCTTTAACTCTTTCAAAACCCTGGCCCCCAGCTGGGCACACCTGTGCATCACTTTGTGTGTCTGTGGGGTCCCAGCACACCCCACCCCTGCCACTGAGATGGGGTACACTTGGACATGACACCTCCTCCTCTCCTCGGATCCCCACGCCCAGCCTGTTCTGCTCTGGGCGTATGCTCTGTCCACTTCTCAGTGGGAGGCCCAAGCTCCCTGAGCTCGGCCTGTCTGTGGCCCCTCACTGGGCCCGGTCTCAGTTGAACCCAAGGAAGGAAAGGAAGGTTCTGTCTCTGAGCTGTGGGCAACCGGGGACACTTGGTTTGCAGGGCCCTGTAGGTCAGCGATGGGGACCAGCAGGCAGCAAGTCCAGGGGCCTCGTCTCTAGGAAAAGTGGCTGTGGGAAGGGGGTGACATCCAGGACAGTGCTGATGGACTTGTTTTGGACCCGTGGAGTTCAAGGGGGCCACCACGCAGGTGTCTGCTGGGAATGCTGGCTGCCTCTTGACCACGGAGCTCAGAGCCGGCCAGCTGCCTTGGTAGAAGGTGGCTTGTAGGATTCCGGCCCCGGCTAGGGTCCTGTCCCTGAGGACACATGGCCTGGGGCCTGGGGAGGCTCTGAGTAGAATGCGGGAGGCTGCTGGGAAAGGCTCAGGTTGGGGGGTGGGACCCAGGGAAAGAGGGAGGTGGGGAGGGACGATGAGGAGGAGGAGGGGGGAGGAGACCCGGACCCTGACCCCTGACTCTTCAGGGTGACCTCAGTCCCTCCAGGCAGCACCCCCAAGGAGATGGCACTTGTGCCGTTGTCTCTGGTCAAGAATCAGGCTGAAAGTGGCAGAAATGAGGTTTGGGCTGAAATCGCCTTAGGGAGTCCCTGGAGGCCTGGGCTGGTGAGCACTGGGGCAGGACCACACCGGGGATGACTGGCCACTGTTAACCTCTGTGTGGCTCTGCCAGAGCCGGAAGATACCAGCACCTCCATGTGCCAGGTGCCCGTGGTCACCGGCTGCCAGAAGCAACCTTGAGCCCCACGTGGCTGGCTGCTGGGGTGCCCTTGACGCTGAGTAGAAGACCTGCCCCTGGGGAGCAGATGGGCCTTGAGTGAAGTCGAGAAACCAAGGAAAGTGCAGCAAAAGGATGCCGAAGGGAAAAACCGGCTGCTCCTGCCCGGGTGGGTTTTCCAAACACTGAGCGATTCCGTTATGTCTTTATGGCGCCGTCTGCGGAAGCAGGGTTTCAAGCCTCTGGCAGCCGCGAGACAGGCACGCCCTACCCACTCTTGGGCGTTTGCTGTGGCCGCCACTTGCAGGAGTAGGAAACCCCGACGGCCTCTGGGCGCGGGCACTGTTGGATGGAGAAGTCTGGACAGACAGAAACCCCTGCACGGACATGAGCTCATGTTCTAAAAGTTCAAATCCAGACAGACCCAGGGCAGAGCTGGGACGTCCCCGAGGTGTGGTGGTTGCAGGCTGTGCGCACGGTGGCATCCGGGTGGACGGGGACCAGGCCAGCCATACCCCAAAGGGCTTTCCAAATGTCCCTGGAGGAAACCAGTAGCTCGTTTTGGAGACCCAGGTCCCACGCAGAGGGTGAAGGACGGCCCGTGTTTGGCTGCTCGTGCTCACACAGGGGACACCGGGGTCCTCACCGGCTCACCCTCCGGGTTTGCCTCTTGACCAACTGTGCACATGGGGAGAACTTGCAGGGACAGCAGGGATGCATGCCCCGCGCCTGGAGCCCCTCAGGGTATTTGCTGTCTCTCTGTTCCCCGTTTCCTCCCATTCCTTCTCTGATGCACCCGAAGCTGGACCACAAAGCCTGGGACATGGGACACCCCTCTCCTGAGGATAAGGGCTCTCTCTCGCATCCCCAAATCCTGTCACCATGCATGAGAATTAACACCATCTCCCGAGAGTATCCACTGTCCTGCCACATGCACGTCCCCCGACGGCTCACAGAACTGTGAAGCAGCACCTGTCACCATTCACCCATCCTATGGGTTGTTTGTCTCCCTAGAGAATTCCCACTTCCCATGATGCCAGGTCTAGGGAGCCCAGGTGGGGAAGGGTGACTCTGTGCTAGCCCCAGAACGAGGTCCCAGTGGAGGTCAGGGCCATTGATGGTGGAGGTCAGGGATGGTAATGGTGGAGGTCAAGGGTGTGTGATGGTGGAGGTCAGGGGTGGTGATGGTGGAGGTCAGAGGTGTGTGATGGTGGAGGTCAGGGCCGGTGATGGTGGAGATCAAGGGTGTGTGATGGTGGAGGTCAGGGGTGTGTGATGGTGGAGGTCAGGGATGGTGATGGTGAAGGTGAGGGCCGGTGAAGGTGGAGGTCAGGGCCGGTGATGGTGGAGGTCAGGGATGGTGATGGTGGAGGTCAAGGCCGGTGATGGTGGAGGTCAGGAGTGGTGATGGTGGAGGTCAGGGATGGTGATGGTGGAGGTCAGGGGTGTGTGATGGTGGAGGTCAGGGATGGTGGTGGTGGAGGTCAGGGATGGTGATGGTGGAGGTCAGGGATGGTGATGGTGGAGGTCGGGGTGTGTGATGGTGGAGGTCAGGGGTGGTGAGGTGGAGGTCAGGGCCGGTGATGGTGGAGTCAAGGGTGTGTTTTGGTGGAGGTCCGGGGTGTGTGATGGTGGAGGTCAGATGGTAATGGTGGAGGTCAGGGATGGTGATGCTGGAGGTCAGGGATAGTGATGGTGGATGTCAGGGATGGTGATGGTGGAGGTCAGGGATGGTGATGGTGGAGGTCAGGGCTGGTGATGGTTGAGGACAGGGGTGGTGATGGTGGAGGTCAGGGCCAGTGATGGTGGAGGTCAGGAGTGGTGATGGTGGATGTCAGGGGTGTGTGTGATGGTGGATGTCAGGGCCAGTGATGGTGGACGTCAAGGGTGTGTAATGGTGGAGGTCAGGAGTGTGTGATGGTGGAGGTCAGGGATGGTGATGGTGGAGGTCAGGGATGGTGGTGGTAGAGGTCAGGGGTGTGTGATGGTGGAGGTCAGATGGTGATGGTGGAGGTCAGGGATGGTGATGGTGGAGGTCAGGGCCGGTGATGGTGGAGGTCAAGGGTGTGTCATGGTGGAGGTCAGGGGTGTGTGATGGTGGATGTCAGGGCCGGTGATGGTGGAGGTCAGGGCCGGTGATGGTGGAGGTCAGGGTGTGTGATGGTGGAGGTCAGGGGTGGTGATGGTGGAGGTCAGGGCCGGTGATGG